CTTAGTACTTATTATTTCATCTTCTTGCGCAAACTCAGAGATGAAATAATATTTTCATCCTTTCAGATCAATTTTTAATTAAAATATTTTGGTCGTGTTATATCCAATCCTACAGCAGTCAGCAATTTTTTAAAATTTCATGAAATGACAATTTATTCTATGACCTTTTCTTGAGTGACAAATTCAATACAGTGACAAAATCATTCCAAATTACTGCTGGAGATATAGCAGAACTTCACTTTGCTAATCCATTCGAGGATTTGGACACATGCAGTAATGTCCACTCTGTTCCTCAGCAAACATTAGATAGCTGAGTTCTGTTGAAAGTCCCATTATTAGTAATGCTTCATAATCAAGATTTTCAGAAGCGGTTGACTAAAATTAGGCCTCTTACTATTTTTCTGGGCATTTTTAAGAGACTTTATTGGTGGAAGTGTTGAGCATTATGCGTAACGCTTCATGTTATTTGTCAAACACAAACAAATTAATTTTAGGATGCATAATCCTTGAAAATTTCTTAATTAATATTTGTAATTGAGTGATACATGTCTATATATTTTGTGTACTTTCCCAAAACGTGTTCTGCAGCAGCGCCCTCTGATGTGCTAGCAAGTGGGTCCTCCACATATGTCACTCGGTATGTTGTTTTAATGTGAATCATTAATGAAAAATATTGTCAGCAAAGGTTACATTTCACAAGGTGGACACGGCTTAAAGATTCCTTTTCTCACTCTCTTTAAAAGTACTAATCAAGGTTCTAAAACAGTGTGAGTGGTGAGTTCAGGACAAATGGAATCTCTTGATAAAATATTAGAGCGATTTTTAAAAAGAGGCCTCTTAAAATGTTTGTGGAATTTTTAATATCCTGCGCTGCAGGTATCTCTACACTGGAATAAACATCACATGGCACCAAGTCTCAGAGCCTGGCTGAATTAACTCAGGTTTGTGAGTCTCAGGCTTTGGTGCGAAATACTGCACTGTAGACATTCAGGCTTAAACTGGAGTATCGGCTCATAGACCACCTCTATTATTGGCTTTCAGAGCTGATGCTACAGCTTGTGCCTAACTATCTACACTGCAACTTTTAGCCCAGCACCACAGCCTTGCAAGCCAGAACCAGAGGACTTGAGACAGATATGGTTCTCCTATGAATCTTTTATTGTCGTATAGATGTACCCTTCCTCTCATTATCATGGTTTCTTTTACACACAAGTTTTGATTAAATAATGGGCACATTTTCAGTCACAAATGTTTTGAAATAAACCACAACATAATGCTGTACTTACCATTCATTTTAAAAAGTCTTCAATATATATTGAGTTTGGAAGACAAATTAATAGACACTATCACAGATTCTTCTCTTTCATAAAAACGTGTGTTCAATTCAAGCAATGAAAAAGCATCAAAAAGCACAAATCATTCAAAAAATGAAGTTGCCTCTCTCTAAGTCTACTTTCAAATCTGTGAATTCTTTATTGTTTCAAAAGTGTAAAATGAAATTCTCAATTTACTTAATGACTAATCATTTCATTTCTCTCTCTAAAATGAATCCAGATACAAAAGCAAAATTTGATCCTCAGAAGATCCAGATCCTGTCTCCTACTAAACAAGAAGGGAAAGGAACACACATATGCCTCATTGAGGATTTTTTCCCAAAAGTTATTAACGTGAATTGGGAAGGCCCGAATGCAGAGAAAAATGCAATACGTGGGGAAATTTGGTCCCCGAATGACGATAAAGAATCATACTCAGTGACTAGCTGGCTGACTATGGATGATCCTGACCAGTATAAGTGCACATATAAACATGAAAGCACAGAAGGTTCTGTCTCTCTCCGATCCCAAGGTATATACTCTATATTTAAACTAGTTCTCTGTTTAGTGGGTTCGTTGTTTCTTTACAACTCACCAATAAAATGAATTATTGTTCCTAAAAAGGACACACATTTCTCTCTAGTGCTATATTACATCTCTCCACCATTTGGCTTTCTCCATCATTTGTCTCTCACTAAAACTTGCATTTCCATCATACACTCAGTTTTGGCTTCTTTCTACCAATTCAAAATCTTCCTCTAATGAACAAAAATGTTGGCTGAAATCCTCAGCTTGGGTAAATAAACCTAATTCTAATGAAGGCAATGGAGATTGTAGATTCAGACCAGCCAAACTCCTGGGTTTCAGTGTTTGATTTCATCAAGTGCTACATATTGCAACAAAAGTAACGACACACAGCATCTAATGTGTTAAAATTGACTGGAATAATTAAACAAACCAAAATAAAAAAGATAATGCAAGAGAAAGAGAAATGTATGTTGAGAAGTAATTTCTGTCTAATTTAGCTTTGCAAGAACAAAACCATTTCCATTTTTATGATTGAATAGGTATTTCTACAACTTTTATTTGCATATTGCTGGATTTTCACCTGGGCTATGTCTAGACTGGACACAACTCGGTTTTGGCTTCTTTCTACCAGTTTAAAATCTTCCTCTAATGAACAAAAATGTTGGCTGAGATCCTAAGTTTGGGTAAATGAACCCAATTCTAATGAAGGCAATTGAGACTGTAGATTCAGACCAGCCAAACTCCTGGTTTTCAGTGTTTGATATCAACAAGTGCTACATATTGCAACAAAAGTAACAACACACACACGACATCTAAAGTGTTAAAATGGACTGGAATAATTACACAAACCGAAATAAAAAAGATAATGCAAGAGAAAGAGAAATGTATGTTGAGAAGTAATTTCTGTCTAATTTAGCTTTGCAAGAACAAAACCTTTTCCATGTTTATGATTGAATAGGTATTTCTCCAACTTCTATTTGCATATAACTAGACTCTCACCTGGTGTATATTAGCAAAGAACTGTTGAAATGAACAGGGCCAAGCCAATTGATACTATCAGAGAATCTGGCCTATGTGCCTTACATTTCAGTTCTCAAAGTACCATCAGATAAAAGAAATGTTAAGGTAATGTAACGATTGGCAGTGTGTACTTTACCTCCACGTCTCTCAGCCTGGAGGTAACTAAGAACAACACACACACATTTTTTTTCATATAAAATGGGGAAAAACAGGATCATCCCCATCTTGCATATTCAAAATGCCTAAGAGATGAGGTTTGGACTGTATGCTCATCTGCATTATTTTCTTCTGGCCCTTACATAGCTATTAACCTATAATACCACTATCCTAAATATTGACAATCCCAGGCTCCGTCAGGCTAGACAATCAGGTGGCCAGGTTTTAATTGGTCGAAAATACGTACATGTTTTAGAGGAGCAAACACAACTGAGTAATTTGGTCAGACAAAATGCATCCAGCCTTATGCAAATAGAAGCTTGTGTGCACAGCGAGGGTCATTTTGAGAGCCTGCAATCACATCTGTTAGGCCAAACCCCTACACCCACACAAATACTAACAACTTCAAATGAGCTCCTTTCAGGGACAACATCTACAACTAAATGCATAGAAAGTCATACAAGTACCTATGGGGAGCATTTGTGTGGGGGGGGTTCCTTATTTATATCTACAAGGTTTTGCCCAATCAATAACCTGCTACTGAGTATATGTGTGAATGGAATTTGACTCCCTCCTCATTTGTTTAAAAAAGTAACTTTTTACATTTGAGGAACTGTAGTTACAGAATTTTTAAACATCCTCGTCTTTGAACTTCTATCAAACTTCTTTTCCTAATTGTCAACAGCACCTAATGTTCCGGACAACCAGATAGTGCCTTGTGTCAACAGAGTTGAGAACGGCACCACGCTTTCTACAGGTAATTGTGTCCAATTCTCATTTTCTGTACAGGAAGATTTAGAACAAACTTCGGCACCCAAGTCTGAATATTGGGCCGTAAAATCATATCAAACACCCTATTAGAAGCTCTCAGTGCCAGAGTCACTGGCATCCTGCCTACTCCTTAGCAGACGTCAGAGAAGACAGCACTGAAATGGCTTCTTTGCTGCTCTCCACCCTGCTCTCTGGAAAGGGATGATCAGAACATAAAGGACAAAATCAGATATCGATTTATGCCCACTCTGATTTGCTGGTATAATTACTACAATTAAATACCATACATAACTTATTGGACCATGCCCAAAGATTTATATTGTTTTTCTTTCAGTCTATAGAATATGTACCATTAACCAGTTGTTGTTGTTGTTGTGTTTTGTGCAGATTATGATATTACAGAGAGTTTAACGCACACAACTGCATATTTCGTATACATCCTCCTTCTCCTGAAAAGCACCATGTACTACGTCATCGTACTCTTCTTCATGTACAGAATGAAAAGTTCAAGCAAACGCCATGGAAAGAAACCCTGAACTTCTCCTTCGGCCTTCCAGCCTCAACATCTGTGTCTGAAAGTTACTTTGTTTTGCCATAAACCATTTCACATGAAACGCCTAGCTCCACATATTAAGATATGCTTTGACTTTGAGTTTGTTGGTTATTTCTTTAATTATAGCATAAGAAGGCTTCTTCTCGTTGGGGCCTAACAGTTTTACAGTTGGCCATTTTTATCATTTTAATTTTGCACCTTTTGAATTTCCTAGATTATACTCCTTGGTTTCAGTGGGAATTCTGCCTCACAAAGCGGGGCAGGATCCATCTCTTAGGCTCCTCTACTGCAAAAACACTTGTTCACGCAAGGAACATTTTGGATCTGGACATCCCAACAGCATGCAGTAAAGTCTGTGTGAAAACTCGGCCCCATACATATTGCAGGACTGGAGTCCTAATCTGTAACTTAAAATAATTTCTCATTTCATAGCTACTGATTTCATGTATTTACTATATAAAATAAAAACAGGCTTCTGAAATATGACTATTTTACTTGAAGTATTAATGAATTTTAAATTCAGCATTGCAGAATTCTGTCCAGTTTATTGATTTGAGGGAAATCAACTCTAGAAACTACAAGGCCTTTTTCACATAGTTTCTAAACACATCACAATCTCTAATGCATTTATCCACAGAACACCACTGTGAAGTAAGGAAGTACTATTGGGTCCATACTGCAGATAGGGAAATGTGGGCTATAGAGACTAAGGCCTCATCCACACTCTAGTAGAAGGTCAGATTAAGATATGCAACTCAGGGATGTTAATTTCAATATCTTAAATTGAATTTCCGCACTATCCACAGAGTGAGAGGCTGACAGGAGCCAATATCGTTAGACCTGCTAAATTGAACACAGGAAGATCGACCGTGGCAGCATCAATCTTCCATGTAGTGCAGACATGCCCTTAGTGACTTGCCCAAAGCCACACAGAAAGCCTATGGTAAAAGAGAATTAAATCCAAGACCAGCACTGAGATCTAAACCATCACTCCTCTCTTTAACCCTAACCCTGTCTCTGTCCCCCTCTCCCTTATCCACCTCTCCCCATCAGCTCCTATCCTCCTCATATCTTCTGCTGCATTCCCTTCTGCTCCTATCCTTCCCCCATCCATGCCTGCATACATCCCTCTGGCCCTCCCTCTATTCCTATCACCCACCTACGACCTCCAGTCCATTTCCTTCTCTGTTGTCCCACCTCCCACGCTCTTTCCTTTGTGTCACTGCGTCTCCCACTTCTGTCAACCATCCCCTTTCTCTCCCACCATCACATATCCTGTATCTCACACTTTGTTTCCTCCTCCTCCTCACAGCCAGCAGGAGGCGGGGAAGCATTGAGAAGAGAGAAGGTCTCTGCTCTCACATCTGATGCCATAGTGGCCTGCAGCAGAAGCAGCACTGCCCACCACAACACATGAGGTTTTGGCAAAGATGTACAAAAAATTGCCCCCCAAAATTGCTGAGGCTGGTGACACTGCTCCTCCTACACTCCGCCTCCCCCCACAGTCACATGGTGTCGCTCTTCACTCCCATCACCCTAGTGCACGTGTCTTAATATTGCAAGTGGCTAACGGGGGCTGTGGCAGACAAAGGGGCAGCTGAGTTCAACATAAGCAGTACCCTGATCCCATGTGCCACGTGACAGTGCTGCTGTTGGCCCTTGCTCCTCCCCAACCCTGTGGCTGCAGCATCCCCTTCTCAGACTGCCCTCTCTCCACTGCTTGCCCTCCTCTTTGTTTGCTTCTCCCCCAGCCTCCCACCTCCTCCTCCTCCTCATACTTATTGAAAGCAAACAACATGATGGGCAAGGATCCAACTATGTCTCAGGTCTCCCCACCATGATAGACCTGGGAACTTTCCCATTGTGTGGCCCCTGCTGCCAAGCGGTATCACATAGGACACTCTGATCAGCTGCCCCACATTGACCATTCTCCAATTCCTTCCAAGGCTCAGGCCCTGGGCTGTATCCCCTCCGCCCTTGGAGGCACCACCAAAGCTGAGGTGGAGGGTGCTCCCCACAGCTGCCTGTGCCCCCTGGCAGCTCTAACTACTGCCCAGCTCCTGGCTTGCTACAGAGAGGTGCGACAACGTATTTATTCTATGAAGCCTCCCACCACTACACTGACTTCAGTACAACCCCACAAAGGCCAGCAACTGCAGCAGTGCAAGTACTGCCATGGTTATCATGGTATCACTTCATCCTGCTCATCTAGAGAACATCTACAAGAGATGGTGTAAAGTGTCTGTGGCTGTGATTCTGCTCGTTACAGCAGTTCTCTCCATGCTCACCCCTGAAGATTCACCAGCACCATTGCCATCACGGCAGATTGTCCCAAAAATGTCTTGGACAGACAGTTGACACAACCACCTGTGTAACCACATTCTTGTACCCACTGTCAGTTATTTCCCAGAATTATTCTGCAGGAGAGTGAGGTGTGAGGAAGCGTGTCTCTGAGAAAGATCAACTGCTTGAATTAGTTCCCTTACAGTTAATAAACTGCCAAC